TTAATTTTAACTCAGTTTCATCAAACAATCACTTATGTTAATATCTATCTCTATATAAAGATCGGATCGCAATCAGATTAAATTTTGGTATGTTTATATCAAAATTCATGGCAGATTATATAAAGAATTCAATTTCAATCGAAAATATAAAATATATATCATTCAATTGGACTTGGATTCCAATATGATTTAAATTAAAGTCTGACGGCTAACCAGGGCCAGCCAATACAAAAAGGAAAAAATTAGGAGGACATACATTTTAAACTATTTAATTGTGAGAAAATATATTAACTAAAATATTTTATAGATAAGTACTCTTGACTTGAAATGTATTGTATTTAGGTATACATTGATAGATTTTTAAAACTAAAATACTATTTGTCATATTTTTTAGGCTGTTTAGATTAACGGTTCTATTTTTTATGGGATTTAGTTTATTATATTAAGATTTTTCTATTTTAATATGTCAATAAATTTGAATTTCAAACTACATCTTCTTCTTCATTGTTCATCGCTTGATATTCTAAACTACACCTTCTTTCTTTTCAACATTTAAGCCACGACCAAGTTTTTTATCAAACGAAAATATCCTCATATTGGATCATTGTCTGATCTTCACCTTTTCCAATCAGTAAATTGAATTAAGATATTGTCACAAGTTTTGTTTACGAACATCTCTAACGGATCTTTGACATCCGACGTCAAATAACAAAATCAAATTTGGGTTCATATTTAAGCTTATAATGTAACTCCATATTGAAATTTATTTTTTTATNCTCATTCAAACTTAGATTGGTAGAAGCTTGTGAGGATTCGAGTCAAACTCAAACCAAAAATGAGCTTAAGCTCTCATCCTAAAAAATACATTGTTGAACTTAACAATTAATCCTCAAATAATTAACGTGTCAACTAAATTCTTCCAAAATTTATATAATTAATCACTGAGTTAAATCCCAAATTTGTTCAAACTATCAGAGAAGATGGGTAAAAAGGAAATGTATACAATCTCGAGCAATTTAGGGGCACTATTTCAAAATCGAGGCGAGTCAAACCTACTAGAATTAAGTCATACATTACTTAGATTCAACTAGTTTATGATATGAAATTTTAAAAGTCTCATCGTAGTTAATTTATTTTATAATTTGAACAATAAATGAATCAAAAGCAAGCCAAGGCCAAATCCGAATTTGAACCAATTGAATGATTTTAAAGCCTTTTTAAGTTAAGAAAATGTAAAAGAGGGCGTTTATATTTTTTCACAACAAGGGTCCTCCTTAAAGTAGAGTCACATTGAATCCACCCTGAAGAATAAATTCTGAATACCTACAATCACTTACTAACTACATAATCAATTAAACCAAGAAAATACCAACAAAAATAGAACCAAAAACATTCAAATTTACAATTGGCCTCAAATTAACTTCAGAGAGCTCAGACCACTACACTTACTATCCAGGTTAGAAGAGTTGGTAATTAATTGCATAGACTATTATTTAATTTATTCTTCAATGGTGGGGTGCTGTCCGAAACCGACAAATTAAATTAGAAAACTAATGGCTAAATAAAATTAGGCCGTTAAATAAATGGTCCCCATTTTAAAGCTTGTCACTTTTCCATGACAACACCATCTCCTTATCTGTATTTTCAATCTTCTGCACTAAATTATTTTTTTTTTATCATTTGTTTTGGTTTTTAATGGGTTGTGAAAAGGATTCCACTCATTGTTTGTTGACAGATCATCAGCCTCACTATTTTTTTCTTTTTTGGAAGGTGTGGTTCTACTTGTTTTCAGTCTCCAATCTCAACTGTGCTTTACTTTTTTCTTTTTTCTTTTCAGTTTCTGTCAACCATATCATAGCTTCTTACATCTGCTTTGGTTTTCTGAACCCGTGACCAATTTAGAAGGGCCTTTCTTTTCTTGAATCCATTCATGGCTAGTGAAACTGTTGTATCAGATCAATCTACAACCCCCGAGGTATGCTTTTGTTTTTCATTTTTTTTTTTTTTGGGGGGTTAGTTCTTTTATGTACTTTTATACTCAAGACATATATATTTCTTGAGCTTTTTGTTAGTGATTAGTATGATTAAAACTTTGTGAATGGATGCTTTGTTTAAGGTTCTTGAGCAAGACCCAGTTAGGATTTATTNTCGCTTCGCAAGATGTTCATTTCAGACGAGAAAATAGCAATATTATTTAAATTTAATCAACCATTAATAACTTTGATTCCATCTGTAGCAAATGAACAGTTTAAATTTTAATGAGCAAGTCTAAATAATATTATTCAAAAAATTATACGGCAGTGAAAGTTTGCGCAAGCTCAGGCTCCAACCATGCTTAACCGTCGAGGTTGGATTCCCATTCAAACTTAGATTGGTAGAAGCTTGTGAGGATTCGAGTCAAACTCAAACCAAAAATGAGCTTAAGCTCTGATCCTAAAAATTACATTGTTGAACTTAACAATTAATCCTCAAATAATTAACGTGTCAACTAAATTCTTCCAAAATTTATATAATTAATCACTGAGTTAAATCCCAAATTTGTTCAAACTATCAGAGAAGATGGGTAAAAAGGAAATGTATACAATCTCGAGCAATTTAGGGGCACTATTTCAAAATCGAGGCGAGTCAAACCTACTAGAATTAAGTCATACATTACTTAGATTCAACTAGTTTATGATATGAAATTTTAAAAGTCTCATCGTAGTTAATTTATTTTATAATTTGAACAATAAATGAATCAAAAGCAAGCCAAGGCCAAATACGAATTTGAACCAATTGAATGATTTTAAAGCCTTTTTAAGTTAAGAAAATGTGAAAGAGGGAGTTTATATTTTTTCGCAACAAGGGTCCTCCTTAAAGTAGTCACATTGAATCCACTCTGTAGAATAAATTCTGAATACTTACAAACACTTACTAACTACATAATCAATTAAACCAAGAAAATACCAACAAAAATAGAACCAAAAACATTCAAATTTACAATTGGCCCAAATTAACTTCAGAGAGCTCAGGCCACTACACTTACTATCCAGGTTAGAAGAGTTGGTAATTAATTGCATAGACTATTATTTAATTTATTCTTCAATGGTGGGGTGCTGTCCGAAACCGACAAATTAAATTAGAAAACTAATGGCTAAATAAAATTAGGCCGTTAAATAAATGGTCCCCATTTTAAAGCTTGTCACTTTTCCATGACAACACCATCTCCTTATCTGTATTTTCAATCTTCTGCACTAAATTATTTTTTTTTTTATCATTTGTTTTGGTTTTTAATGGGTTGTGAAAAGGATTCCACTCATTGTTTGTTGACAGATCATCAGCCTCACTGTTTTTTTCTTTTTTGGAAGGTGTGGTTCTACTTGTTTTCAGTCTCCAATCTCAACTGTGCTTTACTTTTTTCTTTTTTCTTTTCAGTTTCTGTCAACCATATCATAGCTTCTTACATCTGCTTTGGTTTTCTGAACCCGTGACCAATTTAGAAGGGCCTTTCTTTTCTTGAATCCATTCATGGCTAGTGAAACTGTTGTATCAGATCAATCTACAACCCCCGAGGTATGCTTTTGTTTTTCATTTTTTTTTTTTTTGGGGGGTTAGTTCTTTTATGTACTTTTATACTCAAGACATATATATTTCTTGAGCTTTTTGTTAGTGATTAGTATGATTAAAACTTTGTGAATGGATGCTTTGTTTAAGGTTCTTGAGCAAGACCCAGTTAGGATTTATTTAGATGTTCACAACTTTTCACTTGATGTAAAAAAAAATTTGAAGCCATAATTATGAATTTTTTGAGCAAGACCCACCTTTGTCATACTCTGATCTTTTCGCTTGCCAAAGGAAATTAATGGATTGAACTCATTTTTATGGACTTCAGAGCAATAATTACTGGGAAAATTCTCCAAATTAGATTATTTGTTTTGTTGAATCGATTAAATATCTCTACCGTTGAAGTTATCTTATCAAAAACTAGCGGTTTTTTGAAACCATGTAGAATAATCAGTCTAATTAAATGGAAGTGAAGTAACTTTGAGCTTTTGTACATCGAAAGAAAAAGAATTAGTATCATCATTGCTGGATAAGACAGTGTTGAGTGTTGATTCATGATTTTTTGTGCATTCCTAAAAATTGATAGATATAAAAGTAGTATGGTGGCAAAAGAGATGATAGTTTTGCAGATGAGGTTGCACAATTATGGGTCTAGTTCATTTGTCAGTGGGAATATGATGCAGCGGGTGTATTTTCTGGTTTCTAGCTGTGTACTCCACTTGAACAGATAATTGAAGCGGCTCCTCAGAAAAGTGGTTTGGTAACAATCCATAATGATTAGGAACAAGAGATTTCCATTATGCTTTTATTGGTGACAATCCCTCAAATCCGTCCAAAAGTTGTTTGCAAGTTGGAAGAAGAAAGATTAATATGGTTTGTATGGTTCACCAGAGAAGCTTTGGACCTATGCTTACTCATTCCCTGCGAATGCATGTTGNCCAAATCCGAATTTGAACCAATTGAATGATTTTAAAGCCTTTTTAAGTTAAGAAAATGTAAAAGAGGGCGTTTATATTTTTTCACAACAAGGGTCCTCCTTAAAGTAGAGTCACATTGAATCCACCCTGAAGAATAAATTCTGAATACCTACAATCACTTACTAACTACATAATCAATTAAACCAAGAAAATACCAACAAAAATAGAACCAAAAACATTCAAATTTACAATTGGCCTCAAATTAACTTCAGAGAGCTCAGACCACTACACTTACTATCCAGGTTAGAAGAGTTGGTAATTAATTGCATAGACTATTATTTAATTTATTCTTCAATGGTGGGGTGCTGTCCGAAACCGACAAATTAAATTAGAAAACTAATGGCTAAATAAAATTAGGCCGTTAAATAAATGGTCCCCATTTTAAAGCTTGTCACTTTTCCATGACAACACCATCTCCTTATCTGTATTTTCAATCTTCTGCACTAAATTATTTTTTTTTTATCATTTGTTTTGGTTTTTAATGGGTTGTGAAAAGGATTCCACTCATTGTTTGTTGACAGATCATCAGCCTCACTATTTTTTTCTTTTTTGGAAGGTGTGGTTCTACTTGTTTTCAGTCTCCAATCTCAACTGTGCTTTACTTTTTTCTTTTTTCTTTTCAGTTTCTGTCAACCATATCATAGCTTCTTACATCTGCTTTGGTTTTCTGAACCCGTGACCAATTTAGAAGGGCCTTTCTTTTCTTGAATCCATCCATGGCTAGTGAAACTGTTGTATCAGATCAATCTACAACCCCCGAGGTATGCTTTTGTTTTTCATTTTTTTTTTTTTGGGGGGGTTAGTTCTTTTATGTACTTTTATACTCAAGACATATATATTTCTTGAGCTTTTTGTTAGTGATTAGTATGATTAAAACTTTGTGAATGGATGCTTTGTTTAAGGTTCTTGAGCAAGACCCAGTTAGGATTTATTTAGATGTTCACAACTTTTCACTTGATGTAAAAAAAAATTTGAAGCCATAATTATGAATTTTTTGAGCAAGACCCACCTTTGTCATACTCTGATCTTTTCGCTTGCCAAAGGAAATTAATGGATTGAACTCATTTTTATGGACTTCAGAGCAATAATTACTGGGAAAATTCTCCAAATTAGATTATTTGTTTTGTTGAATCGATTAAATATCTCTACCGTTGAAGTTATCTTATCAAAAACTAGCGGTTTTTTGAAACCATGTAGAATAATCAGTCTAATTAAATGGAAGTGAAGTAACTTTGAGCTTTTGTACATCGAAAGAAAAAGAATTAGTATCATCATTGCTGGATAAGACAGTGTTGAGTGTTGATTCATGATTTTTTGTGCATTCCTAAAAATTGATAGATATAAAAGTAGTATGGTGGCAAAAGAGATGATAGTTTTGCAGATGAGGTTGCACAATTATGGGTCTAGTTCATTTGTCAGTGGGAATATGATGCAGCGGGTGTATTTTCTGGTTTCTAGCTGTGTACTCCACTTGAACAGATAATTGAAGCGGCTCCTCAGAAAAGTGGTTTGGTAACAATCCATAATGATTAGGAACAAGAGATTTCCATTATGCTTTTATTGGTGACAATCCCTCAAATCCGTCCAAAAGTTGTTTGCAAGTTGGAAGAAGAAAGATTAATATGGTTTGTATGGTTCACCAGAGAAGCTTTGGACCTATGCTTACTCATTCCCTGCGAATGCATGTTGGCAAATCTTATTTTTACTCCAACAATTCATTTTGTATAATTCATGTTTTTGCCTCCTTTCCTTATTTTTCTACATAATTTGTCTTCTCTTTAGATGTGATATCCAAGGAAAATATTGAGGTGCAACAAGAGGTCAAAATGTATACGTATCACGCTTTGTCATGGGTAGATATAAAGCTAGAAGTTTTATGCAATTTTGTACTTACAATTTTTCATCCTCATTTCACAAATATTTTAATCATTCTTTGTATCATTGACTATGGTAGTGATGACTCTTCTTTTTTTTTTTTGGGATGGTTGTAGTGATATGACTCTTCATCATTTCATAATTGATATCAATTTCACATTTACTACAGGAAGTAGAGAAACAGGTGCATGAAGAGGTAAAAACCATTGAACAAGAGGTTGTTTCTCCACCTAAGCAATGTGGAGAGGAAGAAAAGCCGAAAGCTGAGGACTTGCCAAGTCCAGCAGTGCCTTTGGTGGCTGAATCAGAAGCAAAGAGTGAGGTTAAGCAAGTTGAACCTCCGGTAAGTGAAGATGTGAAGAAGACTGATGAGGAAGAAAAGCCAAAAGCTGGGGACTCACCAAGTCCAGCGATCCCTTTGGTTACACCGGAGGATAAGATTGAGGATAAGCAAATTGAGCCTTCTCTTATTGAAGAGGTAAAGAAGACTGATGCTATTCCTATTGTGGAGGTGCCTGTTAAAGATATTTCGAAATTGGCTGTAGAATCTATTCATGAACAAAGCACGCTGGCTGTTTCAGAACCAATAGCTGATGATAGTAAAAGCAAACCAAAGGAGGAATCAGTGTTTAAGAGCGTTGAAAAAGTGGAAGATGACGAATCCACAATAAAAGCCGGTGAAGAAAAGCCAACAGAGCTGCCAAAAACAGTTCATGTTTCTGAATCATCTGTTGGGGCTGTCGAGAAAAAAGAGGAAGTGGAGGTTTTACCTGTCAAAGAACCAGAAGCAGTTGCAGTAAAAACTCTGGAAAGTTCAGAAGTAGCGACTGAAAAGGAAGAAATCCCAGAACCAGTTCTTGAAGCAAAGGAGAAACCCAAAGAACCATCTGAAGTTTGTGAAGTTCAGGAATCTTCAGTAGTGGAGCCTAAGGAAAGTGTGGAGATTGATATAGCAAAACATGAAGAGACTCCAGCAGATAAAGTTGAAGATAGCAAGTTGTTGGAGGAAAAAATCACTGAAGAAAAACCTCTTGTGACCAAAATTTTAGATCAAGCTTCTTCAATGAATCAGGAGGCCCAAGTTAATCCAGAGGAAGGAGAGAAAGTGGAAAGCCCTCCTATGGGCGCTGCTGAGAAGGGCAATGTGGAGGAGAAAGTGAAGGAATTGGGTGAAGAAGCTGCTGTCGTTGAAGCATTGTCGAAAGAGGAAGTTGTGGAGGTGGAAAAGTTTGAATCAGAGAGTGAAGCCAAGAATGTGAAAACTGAAGAGAATGGAGAGAAAAGTGTTCCAACCAGGGAATTGACTCAACCTGAAACAAAAGAAGTTGAAGCTGTGACTCCCTCCATTTCTGCCACTGAAGTAACTGAAAAAATTTTGGAGGGAGAAAATACTTCCAGAGACATTGAACTGGTGGCTGAAAATGGGAAAGAAACCATAAAAGAGGAAACTATTGCTTCAGTCGAAACCAGCAAAGATCCAGAGGACGAGGAAAAGGTAGATGAAGTCACAAAGACAGCTACTGAAGAACCAATAGAAGAGCCTCAGAAGCCTGAGGTAGAAACCAAAGGAGAGGAATCTTTGCAAACTGGTGAAACTAAGTTGGAGAAGGAAAAAGGGTCCGATGCTACAACACCACGTGATGTTTCAATTCTTGAGTCCGCCAAGGATGGTGATGATACAAAAACATCACCAGATCCTCCTAAAGAAGAAGTTTCAGCAAAGTCCACTCAAAAACATTCAAATAGCATTATCTCAAAGGTGAAACAAACACTTGTGAAGGCAAAGAAAGCAATCATTGGAAAGTCCCCAAACTCAAAAACGCCCCCTTCTGAAACCAAGGGTGATGCTGAAGCTAAATGATGTGAAAAGAGAAGAAAGAGCAACATTCCAAGGATTTGAAGGGCTTGGTAAATTTACGTCTTGTGTGATATTTTGTTTGGTCCAGCTATGATAGTGTTTCCTGCTGCTGTTGGCTTGATTGTGTGGTTGGCTAGTGTGTATAGAAGGTATACAGAGTGATGCTAAATATTGTTCAAACTAGGAAGATTATTTTTTGACCCTATTCATTTCTGTTGTGCTTGCTGTTTGTGTTTTGGTGATGGATGATCAGTAGGCGAGAACATATCAATTGATTGATTATGTGTAGATTTCTATTACAGTTGTGAATATTGTAACAATCGTAGCTGTCTTTACTGTGTTGTTGTTCTATATTGTATATCCCACTTGATTATCTAATCTTCCCTAATGAAATTGCTCAGTTCTAAGTCATCCTTTTTCTTTTCTTTTTTTAAGCTGCTTGATGACTACCAAGATGTAGGCAGAATTATTCTACACCCTCGACAACGTGAGCAATGCATTTTTGGTTCTTTTGTTAAGTTGAAGTTGTTGTTGTTGTTGTTGGTTTTTTTTTTTTTTTTAAATGACGAGGAACTTCGCCAAGAAAGGGTCACATTGGACCCATCCTTGGAGACTAAGCCCAGAGATTTGCAATTCCTCGGCAACTATATATACCCGTTGAACTCTGAAAAAATTTGTCCTAAATGTCTGAGTTTTCAGTTCATCCCATGCTAATTCTGCAACACTCGACTGCGGGTAAAGTTGTTCATTGCTGAGCACAACCACAACTCCTTGGGATCTGGTCATTTTCTTCACTTGCCAAACTAATTAAGGCAACCTTTTCAAAAAAAACTAATGAAGGCAGAATCTTTATTACATAACAGGCCATCCAAAAATGAAATCACTCATCCAATCACTTACTGTATATCAATTTCCTCTCATCTATATCATATGCATATTTTTATCGACCTGATTTCTGAATGATGGACCTAATTGAAAGAGGAAGATTCTTCATGATCCTTCACGTTGGTCTTTAGTTTCACCACACATCAATCTGTTCATGCTCTTCATGAAGAATGGTTGCCCAACACAGTTCTTTTTCACATGAACCATCATATCCATCGTAGTTGATTCACAAAAATCATGGAATTTGATTCTTTTGATATCCCTATTCATCGTTATGTGAAACTTCATGTGCATATGTATAAACTACTTGGTTCATGCGGGGTTTAATGCACAATATATTTTGCTAAATGATTGAACCCCAAACACAATAGAAAGTCACATTTTTCTCCATTTAGGAAGTAATTAACATATGACAATGGTGACACAAGAGGTTCCTCATCAAATGACATAAGAGAGAGCTCACCGAAAATGCAATGGAAGACAATTGCTGCCTTAATCATAGAATAGTTGACTAGTCAGAAAAACACTACTCGGGTGCGTTCCACCTTCATACAGACTGCCTGCTGAAAACTAGTAAGAGATTATGAATTTCATTAACTTCGAAAATTATTAGCATATGTTCAGAAAATAGTTTTCACTACATTGGCTAAGAACTTCTCAACTCTTCTGACATCCGACCTAAACCACCAACTGATGGCTCTTGCAAGTGAATGCACATGAGGAAGATCCTAAGTCCCGTAAAAATAACAAAATCTGTGCAGTTTGTATTGTACAGTCCTGAAATTAGAATTCAGACAGCCTGGTAAAATTTTGCCACTGTATGAGAAATGTTGCAAGCTATTTCACTGAGCTGCCCGTAAAGTTTGGTTTTGGCTGTCATTCACATCCTGCATACAAATGAACATCTGGTTTATACTTTTTGAGACCATTTTATATGTATAGAACATAATTCCATACATTTATCCATTTCTACAACCAATCAAGTGAAGGTTTGTGAATATAAACTCACCAGCAGTTTTACTAGGAATGATGTTATTTACATTAGCCAAGTTCACAGCTGCACTGCCAATAAGATCTACAGATTGATCATTTTTTTGCACCGGCGCAGGCTGGTCAAAATCCTCATTTGTTTCTTGGAACTGAGCATTTCAGAGAAATAAGTCGAACAGACCAAAGCAACATAAAGATAGAAGACAATATATTATAAAGAGTAGGAATGCATTGTTAATAGAACTTGTCATATAACACTGTTAGCAGTTAAGGTTCTGCTTGCTCTATTTGATTTTTGTCAAAAGGAAAAAAACAAGAATTTTTTTTTTGGAAGGTAGAAAAAAAACAAGATTTATTGACGAACTAAAGACGAAAGATTCTATAAAAGGGCACCCAAACCCTTGACAGAAAAAAACGATGGTTAATTGATAGACGAAAAGACAAAGAAGGAAAAAACAATAGAGNCGAACTAAAGACGAAAGATTCTATAAAAGGGCACCCAAACCCTTGACAGAAAAAAAACGATGGTTAATTGATAGACGAAAAGACAAAGAAGGAAAAAACAATAGAGTGCATCACATGAATGGAAGCTGAATTATGAGGAAACATCAAGTGCATAACAATGTTTCATCCAAAATCATGTTCCTGCACCCATTATCATTGTTAAATATTTCAGCAACAAACCAAAAATCGCAGGTATGAAACAGCGTCTTCATGGCTCTTTTTTATGCAAAACTACAAAAATACAAGGGTCTACATATTCATCGTTGACATTCTCTTGCAAAAAGAAGTAAACATGCTTGAAGAGTGAAACTTTACAGTTGACAGTGCATTATGGACTGAACCAGCTCCATTGTGTATAGATAGTCATGGGACGTCAAGCTTGATTTTCAGAATATAAATGCTGGCCCTAACCTTTTCTTTTAACAAATTTCAGATATGGGATTTGAGTAGTTGAAGTGTAATTAAATCAGATCATTGACCAAGAGAGACATGGAGCTATAGAGGTAATAAATAAGAAACAGGCAACAAAGATAATTTGATTATCGCAAGTAAGAAAATATATAATAACTTGGGACATGATAGAAATTGTAGTCTTCAATAGAACACAACACAATAGTGGAACATGATTTATGTAGTCAATCTTAAATAGCTAAGAAAAGGTTTTGTTGAGTTGAGTATATTGGCAATGATTTTTTTGTTCATGTTCGCATCCACTCCCCTTCCCTATCCAGCCTACCCTCCTTCCCATAAAATAAAATTAGAATAAATAGCAGGATATTTTTAAAAGCCAGCTGGTTAAAAGAGCTGTCTGCAAATTGACAATAGAAGTTCACAAGGTGCATATACCAATTTCCCAACATTAGGAATTTCACTCTTGTCATCTGAAAATATAACTGAATTTGTAACTACTTTGNATATTAGGAATTTCACTCTTGTCATCCGAAAATATAACTGAATTCGTAACTACTTTGTTAAAGAGTGTTTATGTGATGAAAGAACAAACCTGTCCAGAAGTNACATTAGGAATTTCACTCTTGTCATCTGAAAATATAACTGAATTTGTAACTACTTTGTTAAAGAGTGTTTATGTGATGAAAGAACAAACCTGTCCAGAAGTCTGGTTCATTGAGCTACAGGTATCAGCATTGTGCATCAATTGTGAGTTGGTATTCTGCACCGGAAGATGTATCAGTGAGTTTGAAACTACCAGATTAAAAAGTGTTTGCATGAAGAAAGCACAAACCTGACTACATATCTGATTCATTGAGCTACTAGTATCAGCATTGTGCATCCCTTGTGTCTTGTCATTCTGCATCATATCTTTTGAGTTCAAGCATGAAGCCGCATTTGGAACTCCCACATTGGTTTCCATCCTCGTGTATTCAGGAGGCCGTCCAGGCAGAGGTACCAAGGGAGCTCGATGCACTGACATGGGAAGTCCTTGACCAGGATGACCAAAAACCTGAAGGTTAGATCCAGTAATTCCCTGAAAAGTACTGGGCCCAGATATTGGTCTGGAAGGGAAATGTGCTCCTTGCATGTGGGGCATTGGAATCATAGGGCATCCAGGTGGTCCACCATTGATGTCTACCATACCCAACCCAAATCCCATTCCCATTCCCATGCCCATTGGTGAGAAATGTGGCATATAAGCTGCGTGTATGTGTTGCATTCCAGTGGGTAACATCATAGGAGGCATATACAACCCAGTTCCCATTGACATAATCTGCATAAAGATTGAACATGTCACAGAGACAGTTATATAGACTTCTCAAATTCTTCAAAACAGTAGAATGCATGAAGTCACAGAAACTTGTCTTCACCTGCACTTGAAGTTGAAGTGTCTTCAAATACTCAATGGCCTCGTCAAGCATTGAAGCTTTGTCCACCTTATAATATGAAAATAGAAAGTCAGCCACCACCATATCATTTGTGGGCTGTTCCTCCTGTTTAGCAAACTTATTTACACCACTAATATTCAAGAAAGCTCTTCCAAATTTCAATCAACCCAAGTTCAACAGAAAGTAAGGATCTAGAAGCTCACAATATAATTTGAGCCTAGAGTTTTAAGCTTCCATGAATTACTTCCTCTTCTTTAGGAAAGGACCAGAATTTTTATCCTAAGTTGAAGTTTTCAATCCTTTGTAAGAGCATCTTCGGTCCTTACTTTTTTTTTTGTACCCTTTTTTAAAAAGAGTAAAAACCTCTCAAAAGCCTTCTTCAATACTAGACCCATAACCATACCAAATGAAGGAAAACCCTTTTTTAAACCCAAATCAAGAGAGACTCAAATTCTTACCCTTTTCACCAATTGTGAGACTAAACCCTCCTTTAAAGATCCAATAGATATATTTATACTCTTTTAAATTTGAGTTTGTCCTCATTTAAAAAATGGTTTCTCTTCCTTTAAATTTGAGTTTCTCCATAAGAGAGGTCTATAGTAAATCAAACTTTTTACTTTTTCACTCAAATTTGAGTAAAGGTTTAGGTTTTTATTGGAGATGGCTTAATTGATTCATTATACAAAATTGCAAAGATCTTTTAGAAAGATAATAACATTGATAAAAGAGAAAAGCAATAAAGCTGAATCATACAAGTGTACTGCTTACCTTATTGCAGTTGGGTATGAGCTCTTGTAATGCACGCATCTTTTCATTGATCCTATCCCTTCGCCTCTGAAAATGTTACAATCATCAATTTATAAATTGTTAATAGCATGCTCTAAGATCAATCGTGTTGATTATATTAGGGTTGTATTGACATCATTCATTTATTAATTAAATAAAAGAGTAAATTTATGTTTATTTCATTTTAACATAGATGATAAAGTCCATCAAGTATAAGTTAAAAAAGATAGTTTTTTAAAGTGTTGAGAATAGGAGACCTATACTTNATCATTCATTTATTAATTAAATAAATAAAAGAGTAAATTTATGTTTATTTCATTTTAACATAGATGATAAAGTCCATCGAGTATAAGTTAAAAAAGATAGTTTTTTAAAGTGTTGAGAATAGGAGACCTATACTTCTTACTACTTAATTCTAAAATGTTCCTAATCATTGGATTGCCATGTGGGTACTCTATAATTCAGATAGACTAGCATATACTGTATTTGCTCATATTTAATATGATGTAACTCGCTCACTAGTATGCGGACTCTGTATGTGATCATTGACTAACACATGATTTTTCATATAAAATTTTAACCAGNTAGGTACTCTATAATTCAGATAGACTAGCATATACTGTATTTGCTCATATTTAATATGATGTAACTCGCTCACTAGTATGCAGACTCTGTATGTGATCATTGACTAACACATGATTTTTCATATAAAATTTTAACCAGTTAATACTAAATCTTAAGTTACAGCTCTGCAACTAATCCTTAAACTTGAGACACTATGGTTGTCTTATGCATGGATTTCTATGTTTTAACTATATAACATATTCATATACTAACCATATAACTTGGATATATATTGTGGACATAGTTAGACATGCATAGAGACTTATGAGTGTACAACATGAAATCTATCATCCTTAGTAAAAATGGAGAATGTCATATGTGATCTTCTAAGATATGACTCAAGGAGTCCTTGACCAAAGCAAAATGACAATTAGAAAATAGNTGTTGGTTTATTTTTTATGGAGTCTAGTTTGTATATGTGATCCAGATGATGACCCGACCCGACCCGAAATAATGTTGTGTGGTTTTTAATGGAAAATTTTCTGAGGCTTAGTCCATGGAGCGAAGGCTTGGGCCGATAGGCCCAAGCCGTAGCGCTCATGGACAAGCCTCGTGGGGGTTCGGGGGCAACGCCCCCAAGGAAAATTTTTTTGGGCCCGTTATACAGCCCAGTGCGTAGGACATATAAACCCTGTTGTTTTGGTGATTAGGGTTAATAGTGGATTGTACAGCCGCTCTCTGTATTCAACTCTCTCAATAGTGAAATCCCTACAGCTTCGTGGACGTAGGCAAATTGCCGAACCACGTAAAATCTGTGTCTTGTTCTTTCTTGTTTCTTATTGCTTTATATTCTTGATTTGTTCTTCGATTGTGTGTGTTTGTTAGTGGATTTAAATCGTGTGAAATCCCAACAGAGACTTATGAGTGTACAACATGAAATCTATCATCCTTAGTAAAAATGGAGAATGTCATATGTGATCTTCTAAGATATGACTCAAGGAGTCCTTGACCAAAGCAAAATGACAATTAGAAAATAGTTTCAAATTGATCATTAGAAGTCAAATTACTAAGATCAAACAAATAAGATTGAGGCATTATGTGATAGAATGATTGAATTGAATGACAATTATAAACTGAATAGGTTCTTTATCTACTTCGTGCTATCTGAGGTTTGATCATGATATGCTGCTAGGTGTCACTAATGATTACTAAAAACCCAAAGAATGAAATTAATATTTCTTCATAAAGGGAGAATTAGAAGAGTTCTAATTCAATCTAAATTAGAAAGAGTTCTAATTTGAAATGCTACTTATAGTTAGTATCGAATACCTACAATCGGATATGCTTGAACCTATAGGGTCACACACAATATAATTGATTGAAAATTAAAGGATAATGGAGAGAAAATCAATAAATAGTTAATTGGGGTGAAACCTAATCAAGAGATAATTAGGAATTTCATTATAATTAATGGCTAATAAAGGGGTTATATGTAATTATGGTATAATTGCAAGTAGACCCAAACTAGGATTATAATCTTCTAACGCTCTATAAAGACCTCAATATAGGAGGAGGACATATAATATAACAACACTCTCTTACTAACACAAGAAAATTTACCCATCATTTTCTCTCAACTAATTCATCAAAGGTTGAGATAGATCTTTCACATTTATCAATTCATGTGGATACTGATAGAGGGCAAACAATTGTGAGACTTGAGGGGAAGATTAAATTCAGATTTGAAGATTTAAGGTTNAGGTTGAGATAGATCTTTCACATTTATCAATTCATGTGGATACTGATAGAGGACAAACAATTGTGAGACTTGAGGGGAAGATTAAATTCAGATTTGAAGATTTAAGGTTCCTTGAGAAAGGTTGAAAGTTATTAAAAGTACGGTTCAAGAGGTAACCCTTAATCTTTTCAATAGATCTAGAGTTCTCGGTTCGTATTAAATATGAATAAATCTTGAAATGAAGAATCAATTTTATTTTTTTTAAATTTTGCTATGTTTATTATATGATTCCTTTAAGTGGTATTAGAGTCATTATTCATGATTTTATACAAACTCGATGTGATTATTGTTATGACATGTTAATGAGATTAACTGAGAAATACTAAGGATTGTATAACTCACATAAAATTTATTTTATATGAATTTTCTTCAAAATAAATCCTTTTTTTTTTCCAAATGCTTAATATGAGATATTAATGAATCCATGTGTTTGAATTTGTTTTAAAATCAGATTTTAAAATAGAAGAAAAGTAGTTGCAAAAACTAGTAACAATTTTTTCTTAAAAACTACTTTTTCATTGTTTCAGATTTGAAATTGACCTAAGGGTGGAACTAGTCACATCTTTAGTCCAAGGGCAGTCAGGATAGAGGTTTTTTATCCAACCATGGCTTACGGGCATCCATGACCACCTTCCATGGTGGATGACAAGGGTGATCTTGATGTAGAACTTAAAACACTAATTCATCATGTTGTTGAAAATTTTTGTTTAACATTGATTTTAATTTTGTTTATGAAACATTAAAATTAATTTTAATGATTTTTTCAAAATTGAATTGGACAAAAATTAGATTTGTGAAGTTTCAAGTCTTAATTACGGTAATGACTGTTGACTTGCTCAAGTTGGATAAAACTAGATCTCCTAGTTAATTTTTATCTAGTTGCCTAAAAATTAGGAGATTGTCTTATTAATATTCTCACAACCCTAAATTTAAATGTTAAAATTATTTTTCTTAAATGGGTTAGTAGGAGTACAATATATTAGCTGAACTAATAACAATACATGGCAATACTTAATTTTATAATGTATGAGATGCATATATGTAAGTATAATGAGACAATAAGACCTCCAAAACCTCTCCACAAGATATTAAATTGTAATGAAGAGACATTATGAATGTTTTATTGTGGTCTTTCGTCATTATAAGTTTATTAAGGGCTCTTAAGGATGATTAGTCAACTGCAGATACATGGGGACTATTCATTTTGGGGAATCCTTGGTAGCTTATTCAAACATATAATGCCATGNAGCTGCAGATACGTGGGGGACTATTCATTTTGGGGAATCCTTGGTAGCTTATTCAAACATATAATGCCATGAGGTAGGATGCTAGTAAATTCCAAGATAGTATTACATGAGCGGCTTATTGGTCTAAAAGTCTACACTTGTACAAATAGTGGATGTGACTTAACTAGGGTAAATGAGTCAAGATGCTATTATGTGAGGTTCATTTATGCTAGAGACCAAATAATGATTGAAATTTGTAAAAAATGAATTATGTAAGAGTTACCTACTCATTAAGGATTAGTATAGTCAAGATGTTATTATATGAGGTTATATTAATTTAAGGTGGGACTCCAATCCCCACTAGGAATAAATTTTCTCTAATTTTAGAGGAGGGTGTCTGGGATTTGAGAAATAGTGGGAGGAACCATTATAATTTAAAGACTCAATCTAATGGTTTAAAATGAAATCTCTAATTCTAGATGTTTTATTTGATCACCATGACCAGTTTCAACTCCTTATCTAAAATTATTAATTTTCAATGTTTGACCAACTTTAACTTCCTAGATTGGAAACGAATCTTGATAATTTTTCTCATTTTTGAAAAGAAAGAAAATACCAATGGGAAATGTTTTCATTGTGGCAAAGATGTGTATTGTAAGAGCAATGGTTGGGAATATCTCGCTTTTATTAAGGACATGCCTTCGAAATGTATGTTTGATACTTATTTTTTGAAACTGATTTGTCAATTGGTTCTGCTTTAAAATAAGGTACTACATACCGTCTCTAATTCTTACATATATAATTGATTGTATGAACTAAAGGAAAATAGAAATACAAGTAAAGGAAAAGTGTTTATTCTGTTAGTTTTGCACATTAGATAATTAACACTGATAATACTTGTTGGAAAATAGGAATTCAAATATAAGAAAACAATAAAACAAAACACAAAGATTTACCTACATCTACGAACCAAAAACTTACATCGATGTATTTTTTATTGAAAAATTAGTCATTTGGTAACTGATTAAATAATACTTAACTCTATTTATACGGATAAAATATTTTAATTTAAACCTATTCAGATATAATTTGATCTTAAATACTGTAACCAAAACTTATTCAGATACAACTTGATATTATGTTTTCTATCACATGTCTAATATTCCTATTTATGGTATATTAAAATTTTTTCAATTTATTTTCTATTTGATTTGGTTTATTAGGGCTCTTACATTGATTACCCAACAATCTCATTTCATGACAATGAGAAAGTTTGGGTCAAATTCCAACAACCTCTCTTGAACCAAACTTTTTAAAATTGATCATGTCCAAGATCGGGGTTTAATGGGCAAACATCCCAACCCTTGGAATATACTACAACCCTAGGTGGCAAAGAGCCGACATCGAGGTGTCAAACCTTCCTGTCGATGTGAGCTCTTGGGGAAG